GCGAGCAGGGTTGAGCCTGGATTCCACACTCGCATGGGCCCAACCACCGACGCACATAACAGGTGTTATAGGCTGCGGTGAGGACTGAGTTGTCAGCAGAGGGCCGTGTTCGTTTTGTTTAGCATGTCCGATTAGCACGGTCGGCTACGTATGGTGAGAAAGAAGCTCAAAACATACATACGCAGAAAATCCATTGCCGTGATGTACATCTAAGTGTTGGTAAAATGAACCCTGATAACAGACGCGAGCTTGCACGGGAGAGGGCCCTCATCCAGCAGCGGACAGACGATGGCCTGTGCATGGACAAGTAGGCAATAAGCAACACTGGCTGACGCCCAGTAAGGAAGGAATCAGATTGTTTACATTGCCAGGATTTGAACCTATAAGTAGGGAGCCCAGAGGTACAATGTTAGACCACCCACCCAGCATGGGAAGGCTGCTTTATGACTCCATGTGACTTTATTTGGACTCGCCGATCTGATTACAAGTCCCCTGACCCCGTGCGATTAAATTAAAAATGTAAAAAATGTCTTAATATAAATATGTTTTTTTTACAATTGTGCCTCCTTGTATTTAAGCCACACTGGCAAAGGCGCAGCCCTGCAATAGCTCGTTCGTGCCACTGCTGGCGAAACGACCTCCACTCGAGCGAGCTCTGGAGAGCCATTCTGGAGGCTATTTTGGCCTACTCTTCCACACCGACCATGCATCTTGGAAGAGGTGGCAGCGTCCACACTTTACCCCACTGGGCTTCCTTAATACGCGTGGCTTGCCGATTGAATATTGGCGATGTAACCATATTGGTGATGTAACCAATTATAATACAGGGACTCCTTTACTTACGAAAGAGTTAGGTTCCCGAGATGTCTGTAAGTCGATTTGTTCGTATATGCGACTTCTGTCGATTCCAAACATATACGGCATGTACACTAAACACGGGGAATGTCTTTCAAAGTTGTATAATCTCCCGTAGATGCCACCAGTTCTTCTTACTGCCACCCTTAACACTTTCACCACTGTCACACTTCTAAAACATGATGGGGGTTGATAATGTTCGTGAAAAGCACAGAGCGTCGTAGTGAACTGCACAGCGACAACACAGCAACAGACAATGGCAGTGGCCCAGGCTGAAATGCTGGGTAATGAATGGGAATAATGGGTAATGAATGGGAATGCTGAGTAATGACACCGAATAACCACCGCCATCTATTGCGCGACGGTTGAACTTACGACGGCCTGAACAGGCAACTGGACATACGGACAGGTTTGTTCGTATCTCTGAAAGTTCGTAAGTCGAATGTTCGTAAGTAGAAGAGTCCCTGTACTTTACTTTTATTTAGCGTCATTCATGCCAACAGCATCCAAAAACGCTATACATGAAGTAATGAATTATATTCGTAAGGACCAAATCCCATATACGCGGTTGTGTACGGATGGCGCGACAGAATCCCAACACGCACACATACATACCGAGAAAATAAAAAACCCTACTACTACCAAGCAAAGTAAAAAATGAATAAACAAATTTGGAAATGGCACCAAAACTAAAAAAAGCACAAACAACAAAATTATCACAACAAAGAAACGAGTCCATTAGGTCTACTGGCATACAATCACCAACTTCCCAGCCAAGCCAAGGAAACCTTCACAGGAGGGGGCGGTGGTGGCAGTGGCCAAAAATTTACGACTCGTTTATACCGCTGGATGGACAGAGAGAGAGTGCGGCGTCGGTGGAGTTAAGAAATTCGCCGCCCCTTCAACCACCGCGCCGGGAGATCGAAAGGAACCAGTTACCCTCTGGATTGCGAGCTGCAGCAAAAACACGGCACGGCAAATCCCGAGCGCGCCTAACCGTTAAAACACAGCAACATCGTCGCTATACACGCATATGCACACTGCACTGCAGTGTTCAACACAATGTGCTTCTATTCACTTGACGTTATATGATTCACAGCTGACACAATATAGTGCGTTACACGTGTGTGTGCCCCGTTTCCCGTGCATGAAAAATATTTCACTCGCTCTCTCTCTAAGGGACAAACGGATGACGCACAAAAAGTCGAGATTAGTGCGTCTGCTAATAAGTCCCAACATGGAAATCTGCGGATGTTTTTCATGATTCCAATAGAACATTCGCATTGCGGACGCCGAATAGTTGTCGATTCACATGGCAAAAAGAGGGTTAATGAGTAAAAATGTGTTTCTAGGCATTATTACGTTTTCCTACGTATTTTTTGCACACACCAAAAAGAGGAACATTTTACTAATTAGTCCTACTATTTGCCTTGCTTGTAATCAGTTTTTGATTGCGCCTGGGGCCTGAATAATGAGGGAAGCACAAAGCGGATATTTCTTTGTTTGTGTGTGCTTCTCTGTATGAAATTGAGTATTTTAAAGATACGCAATCTGCCACATTTAACGTAAATTTCCATTGCTTTTATATCGCATTTTTACGTCGTTCTCTTCAGCCGACGAAAGCAAGGTGTAACCTCCACCGCCCACCTTAAAATCATTTTGCTACAAATTCTCTAAAGCCTATGTACTGCATATTCCTTTAAAGAATTAACATTGCAGTTGAAACAACCAAAATATATTCACCAAGATGAAAACACGATCATCTTTGACAGACAAGGTCAATATGTTACATGCAACGTTTTACAAAGTGATATCCTAAATGGTATTGCTTTTGCGTGAACAAGCACTGGCTTTCCTGATTGGATATGGCAAATTATTGTAAATGAAATGGATGTGTACATGTGTGTTTGTATGGTTGTGGGGTGAGCGGTGGTGTAGCGGTTAGCGAGCTGCCTAACACAAGTCGCGATTATCTGAACCGGTCCCGGGCCTTCCCTAGGTCGATTCAGCCTCAAATGAATACCTGGTGTGGTGTGTAAACATCGCCACTGGGGAGACAAAGGCGGCCGGGCGTGGCGTTGGACACCCTCTCGTGTGCCGTTTCGGGCTTCATAGGTGCTCACTAACAAGACTTGCCCCAATCGTCTGATAAAGCTATACGGGGGATCTTTCTCTTTGTGGTTGGTGCAGCGGTGGCGCTGTTGGTTAACTCACTGCGCTACGAACCTGGCGATCGGAGTTCGATAGCCCGCTCCCGGCCAACATCAGTGGTTAAAGTCTGAACCTGTCCTGGGCCTACCCTCGGGTGACTCAGAATTCAACTGAGTACCCAGTGCAGAGCATGAACATAAGTACCGGGGAAACAAAGGCAGCCAGGCATAGTTCTAAGACTTGTAGGTACGATGGGTGTCATGTGCCGTGCGTGGAAACATTTTGTGGTTCACCAACGATTTTTAATATCTAGATCTTTGACATCGTAGGGTTGCTGCTGTGATGGGGCGATGTTAAAGTATATTGTACGATATAAGGTCTACGCCAAGTGTATTGTCCACTTTGCAAATGATTACCATGTTGTGATCGTTGTGGCTCATGTAAAAAGAAAAAAGAAAATCATCTATTTTTCACTGACCAAATATTTATGAAATAACAAAAGCACGAGAATTAAAGCTGTAGAGAAATAGCTATTACTCATTATGTTAGGGCTTTGCAAGATGTTTTCTGGGGTAATTGATGGCGTGGCAAATATGTGATCTCATTGTTTTTAGTCTATTTCATCATTTAGTTACTCCTCGTGTAACTGGCAGCGTGTGCGTTATCAGCGTTACAGATTGTAAAGCTGCAATCATTAAAATACATCTGACAGGCTTATAATAAGTGAATTGCAGTTGACAAACTTTTCCGTGTTATTTTATTACTACTACTACTACGCTTGGTTACACAGCGAAGCCTCACTGAGTCTCTCTTTCAGGAGAATCCAAACAAGTTTTGTCACGAGAGGGGGCAGTGATTGCTATGTATATTCAAATCTAGTAATTTGCGTTTTTTTATGTTTGGGAAATTTGGAGCATGACGCCAACACACGACGGCCTACTCTTGCGAATGGCGTCATGGGATATTTAACGTCCGCTGTGCAACCAATTGAGTGCGGTGTTACGGTTATTACAACTGCAGCATTAACCAGGGCGGCCGCTGGTTTTGAATCGCGAACCTCTGCAGCGCTCAGCAATGTCACCGTCCTTTGTCAAAAATACAACAAAGCACAAAAACAGTACAATAAAACTGCAAACTGCAAATTACAAAGTTATGGGTAACTTGTATTGCGACATGCATTATATGTTGGAAATGCAATATCGTGTAATTTCGTAAAAATGGTATCACAGCAACCCTATATGGCTGTTGCATAACTTGTGGACCTGCCCTCCTCATTGTCAGGCCCTGTGGCGGCTGTCATTCAGGGTCAGTGGGGGCCTGGGCTCCACTTTTGAATATATGTAAAATAAGACATTCACAAAAGCCTGCCCATGATAATGACAATTTATTTCATTGCAACGAGCTAACACTAACAGTCTTTTCTTTGTATTTTATCACAAGTTATCTCACCATTGTTCAATCGATCATGGCAACAGAGAGAAGGCAATTCTTCCCAAAACTCCTGCAGTAAACTAGAAACTACTTTTTATTTTATCAGATAAAGCCCACTGAGATGTATTGCTCTTTTTCAGAAGTGACCTGGCCACAAGTGATAGCTCAACGAATTGGATTACCACGTGGACATTTATAGCAGCCAAATACTCTAAACGCACGTTGATTCTAAATGTGGAAGGATAAACTGGAGGGCCTTCAAAAAATTCCACGTGATCACAGGGAGAACATGTAAACTAAAGATTTACAGGCGTCAGGGTCGGGATCGAACCCACGACCTCCTGCATACCAGGCGAGGGAGTTAACATCTCGCAACCGCGGCACCCCCCGTCCAGCTTGGTGCTTCCGTGCCCAACCAATATTTTTACCCACCAGCTGCCACTGCTCACATGACTATTTCATCCGCGTCGGAATAGCAACGGAGGTGATGGTGAATTAATTCCTTGCATCTCTCTGTGTGTCCACCCCCCCCACCCCACCCCTGCCCCTGCGACGGCCAACAGGCGAGCGCCCCTACCGCTGCCGGCACTGCCCCTACAGCGCCTCACAGAAGGGAAACCTCAAGACGCATGTGCAGTGCGTCCACCGGCTGCCCTTCGACAACAGCGAGTATCCCGACCGCCGGTTCAAGCGGCTGCGGGGCGACAGCCCCCCACCTCTGCCCGGCGGGGACGCCGGGGGAGCCGACGACTTCTCGGGCGACGGTCGCGCCATGCTCTCCGCCGAGGATGCTGCCGCCTCGGCCCCCTGCTCCTCGCCTGCCCTCCCTTGAAAAAAATGCACAACGATGAGGATGATTGCGGCGCCGATTCACGCTGGGCTGCTCATCGACGACATCGATCGGGGGCTCGTGGTCGCTGGTGGACTGGAGTGGGTGGCGTGTGATGAGTGGCCGCAGCCGTAACGAGAGGTCTACTGGATGTGGTGCGCCGGACACGGAAAATATTTTTCCGGGTCGCTGACCCAGGGAGAACCGATCGAAATGAAGCCTCGGATGTGACACGGCTGAAGGGAGATATAGTACCAAAACGTGAATGGCTCTTATCTTTGTGGACGCAAACCGGAGGTCGTTGCCCTGGGCTGTGGGACCTGCGGGTCTGACGCTGCCTTCGTTATTGGATTAAAAACAAAAAATACTTTCAAATTGCGGTCAGGTGTGCCGTTATGACGCTCTGGTTGTGACACCACGATGGCACTCCGAGACATTTATCATCACGACAATTTGATTTGATGTAGAGTTTGGATGTATATACTGTATAGAGTGAAAAAGTGATTGCATCTAAACACGCTGTACAGAAACAGCAGGCAATGTTTAATTCATAGAGAGAACCAGGCAGTCAGTCATAGCCAGGCCTCAAATCTCGCCACTTGAACAGGGGTAGATGGTTAACAGCCTGGAGGAAGGGGATTCAGGACTATGGGAACAGAGAAGAATGAGTGACTGGGTGTGGAGGGTGTGGAGGGTGTGGAGGGTGACTGGGTGTGGAGGGTGACTGGGTGTGGAGGGTGTGGAGGGTGACTGGGTGTGGAGGGTGACTGGGTGTGGAGGGTGACTGGGTGTGGAGGGTGACTGGGTGTGGAGGGTGTGGAGGGTGACTGGGTGTGGAGGGTGTGGAGGGTGACTGGGTGTGGAGGGTGTGGAGGGTGACTGGGTGTGGAGGGTGTGGAGGGTGACTGGGTGTGGAGGGTGTGGAGGGTGACTGGGTGTGGAGGGTGTGGAGGGTGACTGGGTGTGGAGGGTGTGGAGGGTGACTGGGTGTGGAGGGTGTGGAGGGTGACTGGGTGTGGAGGGTGTGGAGGGTGACTGGGTGTGGAGGGTGTGGAGGGTGACTGGGTGTGGAGGGTGTGGAGGGTGACTGGGTGTGGAGGGTGTGGAGGGTGACTGGGTGTGGAGGGTGTGGAGGGTGACTGGGTGTGGAGGGTGTGGAGGGTGACTGGGTGTGGAGGGTGTGGAGGGTGACTGGGTGTGGAGGGTGTGGAGGGTGACTGGGTGTGGAGGGTGTGGAGGGTGTGGAGGGTGACTGGGCGTGGAGGGTGACTGGGTGTGGAGGGTGTGGAGGGTGACTGGGCGTGGAGGGTGACTGGGTGTGGAGGGTGTGGAGGGTGACTGGGTGTGGAGGGTGTGGAGGGTGACTGGGTGTGGAGGGTGTGGAGGGTGACTGGGTGTGGAGGGTGTGGAGGGTGACTGGGCGTGGAGGGTGACTGGGTGTGGAGGGTGTGGAGGGTGACTGGGTGTGGAGGGTGACTGGGTGTGGAGGGTGTGGAGGGTGACTGGGTGTGGAGGGTGTGGAGGGTGACTGGGTGTGGAGGGTTACTGGGTGTGGAGGGTGTGGAGGGTGACTGGGTGTGGAGGGTGTGGAGGGTGACTGGGTGTGGAGGGTGTGGAGGGTGACTGGGCGTGGAGGGTGACTGGGTGTGGAGGGTGTGGAGGGTGACTGGGTGTGGAGGGCGTGGAGGGTGACTGGGTGTGGAGGGTGTGGAGGGTGACTGGGTGTGGAGGGTGTGGAGGGTGACTGGGTGTGGAGGGTGTGGAGGGTGACTGGGTGTGGAGGGTGACTGGGTGTGGAGGGTGTGGAGGGTGACTGGGCGTGGAGGTTGACTGGGCGTGGAGGGTGACTGGGTGTGGAGGGTGACAGGGATCACTACACCAATGTAGTGACATCACAGGAGCTCTATGATGAAGTGCCTGACTGAATTTAAGGCTCTGATTTTTTTCTCTCATTTACGAAACTACAAATTTGCATCAGCTGATCCGAAACACACAAAGCCTAGGGTATGCATTTACAAGACAAGAGCCGTTTACATATTTTTTGGTTCCCATCTTCCTTTTACTCATTCGCCTGGTGTTTATTTTAACATATGTATACATTTATAATGTTAATATCCTTTTATTTATCCTGCTGGGAGGCACCATGGCAAGGTGTCTAACTCACACACGGAAAAGTCGCGATTTCAAAATCATGGTTGGCGGTTCGCCCGGTCCGTCATCCCTCCCAAGTTACGCTAAGTCAAGAGTGGGTTCTTTTGACGAGAGACTGGTGCCTGTCACAGGAATGTAGAATGTCCACTGCCGGCTCAGGACCGCCAAGGTAGATGAGCGCCGCCCAATGCTTATTTTGCACGTGAGAGGACGCTTGAACTTTGACCCTGACTATTTATCCGGCAAGCCTAAAGTGAGCCGCGAGTTTTAATCTCGTTCAAATGAAATCAAGAAACTGCTTTGGCACCGGTGTGGAAGGACAGACTGAAGACCGCCACCTCACCACCATCTTCATCATCAACGCCGCCATAGAATAGAAAAATACACTGGGCGAGGGTGTGGCCATTAAAAAGGCGTCAAACCGTTATTCGTTTGCCGGTAGAATTCTGCAGGAGTTTGAACCGAGTGGTGAAATTTTGGCAACGCATTCCTCACATACGTTTTTTTTTATCACGAGGTGTTCGATGTGAACCCACCCCAACAAAATGGCGTCCTTACGAGAGTGAGCAAAATGTGTCAATTTGTATGCGAATTATGAATGGCGCTATTGACACAAAAATAAATAATTCCAAATGTTTGCCCATGTGCGTTCTGCTTGTACCACGTGTTGTTCGGCACTGCGTCTGACGTTTTCCTCCACGTGCTGAGAATTCACTTCATGAAGAAGCTCCTGGCATGTGGAGCGAAACGTCGGATATCCAGCTGTGCAACACGCAGTACAACCCCAAAAATAACCCATCGGAGAGCTGTACAGTACCATTGCAACGACAAAAAACTAGGAGTGGAATTCCAAAGGATGTTTGGCAAAGCATCTGTGTGTATACCGTGTATAAATATAGGCTAGGCTGATGATTCAGGCAATTAACTTTCTTCAGTGGAAAGACAGATAACTCTCTCCCTGAATGTCACCCTTACTGTGTTTTTCTATGAAAAGACGATGCTGATGATGAGGGTGTTGAGGGTTTTTTCTCACTTCCTGGTTTGGTCTCATCGTGTGGACTTTTGCCCTCGTACTATCGCGTGGATTTAAGCGTAGGCCGCCATTGTACCATTATTGGCTGTAACAAATCCATCAGCTACACTCCCAGGAAATTGAAGGACAAGGTGTTTGAGCCAGTCGAATTGGCATAGTAACTTAACGGTCAAGGCTGGATTAAGTTTGAGGGGGGCCCTGGGCTGTTATAGTTTTGGGGTGGGGGCAAGGCCCTCTTTGTGTGTTCAATTCCCTTTAGGGGTTTACTGCCATGAGCCACATCTAATATTAAACGCTCCACTGTTATTCACCTCAGTTGTTTAAGTTTGTAAATGTGACCAACAAATTCTAAAGCTATTGCTTTCATGACCAAATTCCACATTCGAATTTATCATAGTATTTTCTTTCAACAATAATAAATCTGTGTTCAGGATATCTATATATATTTTGTGGGGGGGTGGACCTCAATCCAAGACCCTGGGCTGTAGTCCTTGCGTTAATCCGGCGCTGGTAATGTGTACATTTACGTACAATCGATAGTAGTTACTTATTTATGCAGGGAAATCTCACAGAATTTCTACATGTTGGTCAAACGTCCCAAGCAGGATACCTCAATTGTTCTTGACACACTCAGTACGGCTTTCACGGATCAAGACAAACATAACTGGTGTTATGCAGGAGGGCCCCGCTGAGTGATATTAAGGCCACGTTTTAATAAAAAAAAATGTTTGCATGCGGGAGGAGGAAACCGGAGTGTCTGGAGACGCATTGAGCATACGAGGGGACAGCAATTCTAAAATGAATCTACATTTGTATTTTTCGGCTATGCCTCTGTCCAAAATCACCCAGAGTGCACCCAATCCCATCAGATCTCAGATCTCGTCAGATCTCAGAAGCTGGGCATGGTGTGAACTTGGACAGTGCTTGCACGGGTGACCACCATGTGCACAAGACAGGTGGAGTAACAAGCCGTGGGCAGCAGAGGGGGCAGGGCAGCAAAATATATTGTTTTGCACTTCCCCAAACTTCACCAACCCACGTGGTGAAGGCGTTGGGGAAGGCCCTCATCCAGCAGTGGCTTGACAAACGGGCTGTACATAAACACTGTGTAAGGCTTCTCCATGAATGTTTATGACAATGAACCCTGTGGCATCCTTTCACTCTCTTGGAATGATTTCACGACGCTAAATTATTAAACGGGTGGCAATGAAATACCCAGTGGTGATTGTATGTGGTAACTCTTCATAACACGTGTTCTCACGGAATTTTTTTTTTACTTTTCAGTTTTATACAACGTCCGGTACTGGTTCTTTACCTCATTCGGTATCATTTAAAAAAACGTACGATCGATGGTATTGTCAACGGTGCAGGGCGGGAGTCAACTGAGCTGTAGACGATTTTAACTCAAGGTCATCTCACGGTCTCTCGCCGGTGCATTTTTATTCCAACCACCTTCAACGTTAAGGGTGGAGGTCACGGCTTTGCAAATTGCGTGCGGTGCGGTCAAATATGGGTTACCCTCCATTTCACTGAAGTCATCTCCTCGATGGAGATATTATGTTCTACGGCCTAAATTAAATCTGGCGCAACACACGTGCAAGTGCAGCATCATTTTTTTTAGAGGTGCATTCCAATATGATGGTATTTTAAAAAAATATGGTGATGGGATACACGTGACTCTTTTTACCGTGGTGAATATGGAAATGGGGAGGGGTGCGGTGGGGTTCGTCGTTACTTGAACTATCGAGGTGACCGATTTTTTTTTTCTGGACCACACTCCGGGACGACGTCCCCCAATCGTGTCACGTTCGCCTGCACCGCTCTTCAATTCATCCGCACCTCTGTGGCAGGGCGTGGCACGTGCTCATCGACGCGCACATCACGACAACGATTCCCCCCCACTCACCCACTCACGAACTGCTCCCATTGGGTAGTGGCCAGAGTGATGATGCCACGGACTCCATGGTCTTCGTTTCTGAAACATCACTGCCGCCCAGAAGTCTTCTTTCTAATTATCAGTATTGTATTTAGCCAGTTTTTATGTTGGGGACGGCAGGTGATTATTTATTTATTACCCAACTTACGTTTATTTACCCTGTACTCAACTATCGATGCTATGTAGTGCTGTGTCATTGTATGTACTATGAGGAATTTACGTTGAAATAAACATATTATTATTTATTACTGTTATTGTTACTTTGACACTGGATGTAGCTCATATTTTTTTATCAGCGTTGTACAATATTAGTCTTCATTTATTTCAATGCGGATGCAACCACGGACAAGAAAGGCAGCGTGGTCCAAAATTCCAAACTCGCAGGGAGGGGGTGCGGGGGGGGGTTTGGGATGTTACCACGTGTCCTTGGGCGCAATGTCCCACGTTTTGCTCCGTGTGCCCGGACCTTCTTCAGTCGATTGAGGAACTCGAAATACCTACGTCAGTCGTAGTCCGAGATAAGGTTAACATTTCACACTCGGCAAAGCCGCGTGTTC